ACCTACAGACTTTTCGACCTGCAGCCACCGTTCCAATACGGATTAATTCCGTAAGTAGAGGGTCCACTGTACTACAGTTCCCCAAAAGATTCAGGTATCTTCATATAAAGTATGTGATATGGTCTATAGAAGTTGCATTAGGCAGGAAAAAATGAAAACTGGGCTCTTGCTCTGCACAATTCTATTATATACTCATGCAAGCCATAATATCTTTTTTTCTGGATTCTCTGTTACATGTTCAGTCTTCTCTACATTACGTGACTGATCATATGGCCTCTCCAATGACAGGGCACACAATCAGGGGTCCAGGAAGCATGGAAAATATTTGCATGCCAGCCTCTGTGCAGTTTCTTTTCAACTGGATTTTGGCCACTGAACACAAAATCTTTAGTAAAGGCACTGAAAGTCCCCTTTCTTATTTGAGCACTGGAACTATGGAAGACTTGCAAGAAATATTCTTAATTACCAACAGCAATTTGAGGAAGCGGCGTACCCCTACTTTAAAAGGAAGCAATTGTACAGCCTATGCTGATGAAGAACACACATTGCCTTCCTTTAGTCCTCTGTGCTGGAAATTCATACATCTCTTTCTAGTCTTTTTCCCTTTTATTCCAGTTATTTAAGCATGCAGTCTGACATTAGCTCTGGTCACCCCAGGATAAAATGGATTATCTAGAGCCATTCCAAAAATGAGATTCCATTTTAAAAACTCATCCATCCCACCAACCATTGTAGAAATAAATTCAGAATTATTAAAGCAAAACCAGTTAAAACCTGTTTCCTCTTATTCAGAGAGATTTTGGCATGAGTAAAAAGCATTCTACTCATGTATAGGGAGGATCTGGTTTTCCCCTCCCTTATATGTCCTGTAATGAAATAAAAGCAAATAGGAATTTGGACAGAGAATTTTTGTGGGTTCCCACTTCCTACACTCCAACAACATGTGGGAAATCTACTACTACAGTTCCCCAAAAGATTCGGGAATCTTCATATAAAGTATGTGGTATGGTCTATAGAAGGTGCATTAGGCAGGAAAAAATGAAAACTGGGTGGAGCATTTTACACGAAATGGCCGTGAAAAAAACCTCTGGCTTCAAGCCACGATCACTGGCACCTTATTTCTATGGCACATAAAACTGCTATACGACAAACAAGGTAAACATTGTTAGAGCTAACAGAAGTAGGGCTTGGGAATCTCATTCATACCTCTGCTGCTTGCGTAGATGCTCGAGCTCTGCATTCTGTTCCCTGACAGTCTTCAGAAATACCTGATTCATCTACAACAGGAGAGAAACTTCTATATAAATTTTACATCATACTGATGACCTCAAGTGAAGTTTCATGCTTTGTAGCCTGAGCATCATGAAGTTTACTTTTATTTTTAATCGTTCCCTCCTTTCTGTTTACTCTTTAAAAAGCTTTCCTCCTTTCCCAGTGTGCCCATAGTCACCAATTTCCCACTTTAAACCTCTTAAATATAGCTCTGTGTACAATTTTACTGCTTTTCACAGTATTACAATCAATTTGAGTCCTATTGCTTTCCACAATCAACACACATATAAAAACTTCTTGCTTTGAAGTCCCTTCCACCCAACTGGACCTGCCATTCCTTTAACCATTCTGTATGCTGTCTATCGGGATATGGTGACGCTGCGGGTTAAACCACAGAAGCCTCTGTGCTGCAAGGTCAGAAGACCAAGCAGTCGTAAGATCGAATCCATGCGACGGAGTGAGCTCCCGTACAGCCCTGGGATACATGTGGGGGATAGTTCTTATACTCTTATAGGTGTTTTTTGTTTGTTTTTTTTAAAGTTATTATTACACTGTCTTGGTTTATGTATGTATATTTTCTTATTTGTTGCATATGATTATGTTTTTTATTATTAATTGATTTGTTTATATTGAGTTATAATTTTTTTTCTTTTCGGAACCTACGCAGTCTATCCTTCCTACTTCTTAACACTAAATCTCTTATTTCATTGCCTGGCTAATTTAACTTTTAGCTGATATGACATGGAAAGTGGAGAGGAGGAACAGAACAGGTACAACAAAATTATAATTCAGAAAAATGAGAAATAAAAGAAAACTGAACAATAAAGGTACATTTGCATTCTTTCGAACAGATGTTTATGTCTTCAGCAAAATACATATTTTAGATCCTGACCTTATTTTCTAAAGCAAGGGTGAATTGCCTTCCTGTTAAGAATTCAGTTAAAATTAACACAAAGTAGAAAATATTACATGGCAAAAAATATATACAGTACAATTAATAATCTATGTAAATATAAACGCTGACATACATTTATAAAAAGTGCCTAAAAGTTTATTTTGGAAAGGAGTGCATTTGTTTTTTTCCTGAAACAGGCTAGAACAGTTACTATATTGTTCAATGTTCCACTTACTGACTCCATTTTTTCATTGGCTAAATGCAGTTGTCTTGTTAGTTGCTGAAAGCTTGTCAATTGATCCTAAAAAGAAGACACAGAGCAGGCAATTATAATCACAATGATTTATCACCCACATAAAAATAAATGCTCCAGCTTAACATTTTAAATGTTTAAGTACTGTTATTATATTGTATACATTACTGTTGGCTCTTGTCCTGAATTCTTTGACAGTCAGCCAAATGTTTCAAATGAAATACACAAACAACATGCATTAATAATGGCATGTCATACAGCCCCTATTGTGTGCGCACACATGGACACAAACATGTGAGAGAAACAAAGACATCCAGAAACATATTGCTCAAAATAGATGGCAGACTTAGCTGTGCTTATTTATGTGCACAGGCGCACAGAACTCCCATTAAAACCAACAGCTCTTAGGGGTTTTCTGAATATATGAAAGCATAGATTAAGGCAGTGGCAGGTTGGCTTGCAAATGAAGATGGGCTTCAAAACAGGATTTTTAAATGCATAACAACTGTATCCATTTTCTGATATGTTTCTTGGCATTTTGACATTTTGAATATCTTCTAAATTTTGGAAACAATCTTGGATGACTAGGGAAAGAGTTTTAGGTGTTGGTGTTACCTACCATAAGATTACCAGTTTTGCCTGGATAAGAAACTGTTTTGTTCACCCTCCCCAATGTTCTTTTCCTATTCTTTATCTCCTCCGATCTCCCACATCCACTACTTGTCTTTCTTACTAATTTTTCTCCTCCAGCTCCTGATGCTTTTTTGGCCTTTCGCTATCTCTACTCTCTCCACCAAAACCAAATATAGGAGGAATTCTCCATTACTTTCTCTAAACTGTTTGAAGAGTTCTGATCCCGCTGAGGGAAGCAGCATGTGGCGTCTTCTAGAGCGAGGTCTGTGAAGAGCTGAATCTCTCGGACTTGCCCCAGCCTTCTGTGTAGTGTAATTAAGTGTATCTTGTGTCTGTCCTGTGAAGAGCTGAATCTCTCGGGCTTGCCCCAGCCTTGGGTGTAGTGTAATTAAGTGTATCTTGTGTCTGCACATAGTACTGCAAGACTGCATACAGATTATACTAAACAAAAGCCCATTAACTATTTTAAAACAAAAGGTTAAAATCCATCTGCTAGTCCCTACTCAAATATACTTGTCAAGTCAAAGTCAGCTGTTACACAGCCGTCCCATTCATTTGGTGGATCAACTTTAGATCGGATCAATGGTGGAATTTAGTTCTGAATAAGCTTTGCAGAGCCTTTCAAATCCCACGGCCCCCATGCCTATGCCAAGCTTCAGGTTTCAGTGTCTTCCAGCTATGTTCTACCAGTTATGCTGAGGGCAATGAAAGATACAGAGGACACACTTTTATGAGCACAGATTTTAACTACATCTTAACATACAAAAAGAGTAAGAAAGGAAATTACTTTTTGTTTTCGCCCTTCAACAATATGTATCTGTGCCTCTGTCATGCGCTCCTGGTATTTATGCTGAAGCCGCTCCAATTCAAGTGATACTGTCTGCCAAAGTTCCAGTACATGTTCCTTTTCCTAATTTTTTTTAAAGTAGAAAATAAAACATTAAAACAGGGACAGTGCACTAGAAAAACCTTCCTTTTTTATTTATACATCAGAAGACTGAAAGCAAAAGACAGTTTTGCATTATGAAAATGTAACAACATCGTTCTTATCTCACAAAGTAAAATTGCTTTACTCATTATTCACAAGTTTTCAATATAGGTAAGTAGCAGGGATAAAGTCTTCATGACTGCCATCACTGTATTTACATCCATATTCATGTATGTTAACAACAATCTAATATCTTAATGAACATCAATGGTTCCTTCTAGTGTTCTGCGCAGTGAGAAGCAAAATTTATTGTTCACATTTATTATAGATGCACGTAGCACGAGGATGCAAGTCCCGGAATTAAAATTAAGCCTTATCTAATATTAGTTGCAACTAAAGTAGAACTACTCTCATTGGAATTAACACTGGATCCAGCAATTCAAATAGTAAACACTGTTAGTATATGTTTCCTTTCAGTGAAAAGAAGGCTAGGTTTGAAGACAGATGCTTTATACCTGCAACAGAGTCAAAGAACCATGAGTGTCAGTCTTAACTGCAGAAGACAAATCAACACAGAAGAATTTTTTTTGCATCCACTTACTTTATTTGCTAATTGCAACTGTTCTTGGAGATTTTTCATAAGATTTTCATCTATGTATGCACCATCTCCTGAAGTGGAACCAGATGGCAGAGCCTCTAACTGCTTTTCAATAGCCTCTTTTAATTCTTCATGCAATCTGGGCAACAAGGAAACAAACATTTAGCTTCTTTTAAAACAGCAATAAAAATTCCTTTGTACTCGAAAGGAATTATCTATTGGAAACAGACCCCTGTTCAAGCCATCTTAACTAACTGTTGAGGTTACAAACACAGGGATGCTTTTGAAGAAAAAACACATTTACTGTTTTAAGAGCATATGAATTATGGAAGGCATTTATGATCATATGATCACAGAAGAGAAATGTGGCATTTTTCTGCAGAACGCACTTGCTTCTTACACTGTCAACTGCCTAACTCAAAGATGCACTGGCTATAGTAGATTTGGGATGGGCAATATGCCTCTCATGTCTGCACAACTGCCCTTCTTTTAGCACAGCTCCTTTCTATTGGCTGATTGCAGAGATCTTTCTTCTGTCACTTTCACTAAAAGTCCTTTCAAGCCATTACTGCTTTCTGCCAGTAAAATAGCATCATCTATATATCTTAAATTATTGATCTTTGTTCCACCAATTTTCACTCCTCCTTCAACTGAATCTAGTTTGGCTTTCCACATATGTTCTGCGTACAGATTGAACAAACAACAGGATAAAATGCACACTTGTCTGACAACTTTGCCTACAGGAAATCATTTTGTACTAACAGTAGCTTCTTCTTCACAATACAGACAGCATCATCTATATATCTTAAATTATTGATCTTTGTTCCACCAATTTTCACTCCTCCTTCAACTGAATCTAGTTTGGCTTTCCACATATGTTCTGCGTACAGATTGAACAAACAACAGGATAAAATGCACACTTGTCTGACAACTTTGCCTACAGGAAATCATTTTGTACTAACAGTAGCTTCTTCTTCACAATACAGGCTATACATCAAACCAATCAAGTGCTTACCTACACCCATTTCTTTCAGAACAATCCATATTCAACTGAATCTAGTTTGGCTTTCCACATATGTTCTGCGTACAGATTGAACAAACAACAGGATAAAATGCACACTTGTCTGACAACTTTGCCTACAGGAAATCATTTTGTACTAACAGTAGCTTCTTCTTCACAATACAGGCTATACATCAAACCAATCAAGTGCTTACCTACACCCATTTCTTTCAGAACAATCCATAGTATCTCATTGCTACACCCATTTCTTTCAGAACAATCCGTAGTATCTCATTATCCACATAGTCAAAGGATTTGCTGTAGTCCATAAAGCACAGACTAATCTTCTTCTGTAATTCTTTGGCATGCTCCAGTAGCCAGCAGATATTTCCAGTATAAAGGTAAGAGTAATCCTAGGTAATTTCCAACATCCCTAAACTTCAGTATAGCTTCAGATGGCCTAGTGTTGGCTCAGCTGTAGCTCATGCCCTATGGTTAGTAAGAAGAACAGCCCTATTCTGCAGCTAATGGTTATTCAGATGGCCTAGTGTTAGCTCAGCTGTAGCTCATGCACTATGGTTAGTAAGAACAGCCCTATTCTGCAGCTAATGGTTAAGCTACACACAACATCAAATATGCAGTGTAAGGTGAATTAGATATACAGGGGAGTACACCTCTGATATTGCATGGCTTGTTAAAACAGAATTCTGCAAGCCATTACTGATAGGAGGAGGCACTCTGTATAAAAAGTTCTAACTTCTGAATGGGTTCCTCAATTAGGAAGAGTGATACTGTACAATATTGGCTTATTCCATGTCAAATTTGGAGAAAGTTCGGCAGGTACTTCTGAAATTCTAATTTCTGCGGGCGGGGCGGGGGTTCCCAAAGAAAATATCTTGGAAAGGGGAGACAAAGGGAGAGAACATGATGAGAATTAATCATGGCAACTGCTTTGTGTCTGAGTCACAAGTAGTTAAACACAAAAAAAAAGAGTCAGCTTCTGGAATTTTCCTTTGTTTGGTGTCTCTGAAAGATAGCGAGCATAAGAGGGGATTCTGAAGACCATATTGACTGTTGAAATTGGTGTTGTCAATGAACTGGCTGGCTTTTGCTTTCCTGGCAACACAGGTGTCATATTAAAATGCATTGTTTGGCCATTTCCTGGTACTTTGAATAACAAACACAGCAACAGTAACCCACAGTTATAAACCAGAGTTGTTGTCTTTATTTAAAAGACTGGATACTTCCTTTATAGCATGTGGAGCACAAATCTCAATTACTGCCATTTTTAACCAAATCACACTTACAGATCCAGCAGCAAAAAGAAGGAAAAGACTCATCTGCAATTTCTGCAAGGCCCCTAAATATATGTAAATGAAATGGGGGGTGAAGTTCAAACCTGCTTATGCTCAGTGCTCATGTGTATCACAGTGTGGATTTTGAGCTAATAGATCCACCACTGACATGGTATTCTCCCTCAGACAGTTGCAGGAAAAATATAAGGAACGACGACAGCCACTCATAGATCTCACAAAGGTCTTTTATTTGGTTAGCAGGGATGGCCTTTTGACGACAGCCACTCTTGGTGGCCTTCATAGATCTCACAAAGGTCTTTTATTTGGTTAGCAGGGATGGCCTTTTAAAAATACTTCCCAAGAAGTATTTTTACTTCTTGGGAAGTAAAAATCTAGACTCACAAAGAGTATGGTGTAATAAGAAGCTGACTGCATATACCAAGATCCAGGTCTATAGATCCTGTATCCTAAGCACACTGCACTGTTCCAAATAGAGTAGTCCCAAAAACGAGCTAAAATTTTTAGCATGGATACATTACTGAAGCAGCAATGTCTACATTGGCTTGGGCATGTTGTGAGAATGGCTGATGCTTGGATTCCAAAAGATCTCCTGTATGGAGAATTAGCATAGATAAATCGCCCCCGAGGGGGACCACAGCTGCGATACAAGGATATCTGCAAGCGGGATCTGAAGGCCGTAGGAATGGACCTCAACATTCGGGAAATCTTGACATCTGAGCGTTCAGCCTGGAGGCAGGCGGTGCATCATGGCCTCTCCCAATTTGAAGAGACCCTTGTACAGCAGGCTGAGTCAAAGAGGCAGTCCCATAAGCAGCAAAATCAGGGAGCTGGACAGGGGATATATTGTATTTGTCTTCAGTGTGGAAGGGATTGTCACTCTTGAATTGGCTTTCTCAGTCACAGTAGATGCTGTTCCAAGTCCTTTTATTTATGTTTTATTTTTTCCAAGAACAATATGCATTTATTCAATTACCATCATTTATTTTATTTATTATTATTTATTCCCGTTCTCCTTCCCCTTCTTTAAATGTACCTGGTGCCACTTCCTTCAGGGGTGCCCCCGCTGCTGCCAGCAGGTGCCACGGTGGTGGCTTGGGTTCCTCCAGTGGTGGTACCTGGGCTCAGGCTCCCATTGGGGCTGGCGGGTGCTGGGTTTGTTTTGAGGGAAACAACGGCAGCAGTGAAAGGGTGTGGAAGGGGGCGGGGTCCAAAGCCAGCGAGCCCAATTGAGGAAAGGAGGGTAGCAGCTGCTTCAACACATGGCTGGTGGTAGCTTGGGTTCCTCCAGTGGTGGTACCTGGGCTCAGGCTCCCATTGGGGCTGGCAGGCGCTGGGTTTGTTTTGAGGGAAACAACGGCAGCAGTGAAAGGGTGTGGAAGGGGGCGGGGTCCAAAGCCAGCGAGCCCAATTGAGGAAAGGAGGGTAGCAGCTGCTTCAACACATGGCCCTGCCAGCAGCACCGAAGAGGGAGCTGAACAAGAGGAGGGTTAAAAGAGTTATGGTAGGCGAAAGAGGAGAGGGGGGAAATAAAGGCAGGGTTGGAGCCTGGCTGGTGGGGGCTGGAGCTCCAAAATCGCCTCCCCATTTCCAACCTTGTGCTTTGTTAGACTTGTCTGGGCGCACGCTGGAGGGGGGGAAGCACGTACACTGCAGAGGTGTGAGCCCCAAGAACCGTTGGGAACTTAGGAGCCAAGGAGCAAGTTCCTGGTGGCACGCAGCTCCTTCCTCGCTGGCTGCCCAGCCCCTCTGTGAGCCAGGGAAGTGGGAGAGGAGGGGAAGAAATTTTAAGTCTTTCTTGAGGGCTTGGGAGGATCCCAGTGAGTCCCTGGCGGAGGGCAGGGTTTAACTTAACTAGGGCTTATTCTCCAAAAAGCCTGGTCACAAACATATACAGTAGATGTGTACATATAAGATTTTATGCTAAACACGAAAAACCATTAAGTGGATGTGCAAACTCTGTTGGAAAAAATCTCATATTTGATTATAGCCTTTTTGTTTGTTTTCATTAATTAAAAATATTGAAGAAATGTGCCCAGTCACTGAATCTACCTTTCGTTCTCCTTGATGACCTGTTCAAGCTTTATTCTCATTTCCTTCATCTGCATCTAAAGAAAAATAAACAAGACTGAAAAGCATTTGGTTTTGAAGAAATGACAGAATATATACAATAACACTTAATATGCTACAAGAACCACTCATATACCTGGATACCAGTGCAAACACTGATAATTAAATAGGACAGTATTCTTTTTCAGCACAATATTTCTAATATTTCAGTTAAAACAACAGAACATAGGATAAGAGTTATTAAAGTTAGCTATATTCTTATTACTGTATATTCAGCTCTGCACATCACTAACTTCCAAATGTTATTGCAATGAAGTTTATGTTACACAGCAAAGGTTTTTTTTCCTGATTATTTCATACCTGACAGTATTTCAGCTGTCCATTCATTTCCTCCAAATGTTTATCATATTCAGCAACTAGCGGAAATGCTAAACTAGAGTGGATATAAAAAACATATAAGATGATTATAATAATAAACCTTTATTGGCATAACATATAAGATGATTAATTATATTGACTGAACATATAGGTCACAAACTGTTTTAAATAATATTTCTCCCCCAATAATGTTTTGAGGAGGGAAAGGGGGCCTAAATCCAATTGGCAGTCCTAGTTACAGTAGACTCCGAGAATCAATGTATATCTTGTTAGTTAGCAATTGCTTCCATTGTTTCCATTTGAGGCGGAAGATTGGATTCAAGCAGAGAAAACAATATTCAAGTACTAGCGAAATTTCCACAGATTACATGGCTGTGTGTGGAACCATCTGCTACTAGAGACGCACATGAACGTCAGTTGGGAGGTTTGTGCCAGTTCCTTCACACAGCACCACAGGTGCTGCACATTCCTTTCCCCCACCTTCCTGGCCAATGACCAACTCACTAGTCAGAGCATGCTCCTCTCCTCCTCCTGTTTGGATGTTTGACCAGTCCATGGCAGGAGCATGGTTTTGTCTGTCCTGCCTCCTTGTCTGAGTGGGCGACCAGCCAAGGAGGCGGGGCAGGGAAGCCTGTGCTCCTGCCAGATATCAGTTGAACAGCCAAAGAGGAGGAGAGGAGTGTGCGCCAGCTGGTGAGTGGGGGATCCACCCGGGGAGGCTGATTTACAGAACAAACAGTATGAAGTCAAAAGACAATCTTCTAACATCAGCATCATAAATTAAGCAACAGCTACATATAATTAAGAGACAGTGGTACAGTAGAACCCCCATATCCATGGGGATCCGTTCCAATTCCCCCTATTGATGCTGGAAAATATGGAGTATAACGAACACTATTTTACTAGTGAACGCTATACATACCCTATTTCCCCAAAACTAAGACCTAAACTGAAAATAAGACCTAGTATGATTTTTCAGGATGCTTGTAATGCATCCACAATGGCATAAAACCTTCAAACTTCCGTAATAAAAAAGAGGGACGACTGTTCTGATGAAATTTTGGAATGCACAGAATAAACAAGCACAAAAATACGTTGTTTATTCTATAGTTACTGCTTTCAAAGGAATAACAGACTCCCAGTCCTCCCTTTCTTAAATCACCTGCCCAAAAGGTGAAAAGGTGGTTGACAGTATGACACATAATATGAAACTCCACACTTCTTTGAGAAATCGTATGCCAAGATAAGGGAGTGGTTGTACTGTTCCTGGCTAATTGCAAAAAGGGAATTTTTGGGGGAGAAGGAAGATTGCCTATAAATAGCAGGACCCATTTAAAACACTGATATTTCTACTCCTGTAAAAAGGCTTGGGGGGGGGGAATATAAAGTTACTTCCAGTTGATTTGACAATGTTATTGTATCTTATACCCTCTGGTTTGCAATGGTTTCCCTTTCTGCCATTTTTAAGGCATACGTTATTTGTGCTTTTTCCCCCCAGTGAAGTGTCACAGTTTCATCAAACACAGCCAACAATATCTCTAAAAGGAACTAAGGGGGAGGAAGAGAAAGCAAATTGACTCAGGTTTGCCCACAGACGTAGTTATATGTAAGAATAGCTCATTTCTATCTACCTGATCAAAATCAAAGCTATGATTTCATGGGTCTGCCTGAATAAATCTAGATGCAATCCATTGAATTTTTTGGCCAAATGTTTACCAGTATTACAGTTTGATCCTAAATATGTTTACTCAAAAGCATGTTCCATCAAATTTAACTAGATCTGCCTGTTATTACTATTAGAATGGTAGACAGTGCCACACAGTTAATGAAACTTAATAACATTGCTATTTGCACAGCATAATAAATTTAAATAAAGATTCACTTTATGAGAGAAACAGTAACTTTTTTTATTTACTGAAAAATGTTCAAACACAAACATGTCATTATAAGTAGCTAATTGAGAAAAACACACACTAGAAATCTAAATATTACATTTAATGGTAATGGCAAATAAGCATCTTTACCTCTGATCTGTCAGCCAGGACTCCATTGCATTATCAACTTCAGACATATTTTTCTGAAACAAAGTAATTTATTTTTTAAAGTATTATGTTTTTGCATGGAGAGACGAAAATACAGTTTTGGCTGATATTTTGAAAATTTATTAACTTAAACAATTTATTCCATATACAGGTATGATTATTTGCTCAAACATATGCTCCATTATAGTTCTCTATTTACACTAAAAAAATCTATGTTATTTCAGTTCATTTGGATATCTTTTGGAGCGCGCACACACACACTTTATTTAAATCTCTTCATAGAAAGGTACAGTACTAAATTGGAGATACTGGCAGAAGGAAACAATCTATGAAAAATGTATCAAAATGATTAATTTCTTATTGTTTGGAACAGTACAAAGATTAATGTCATAATCATTTAGCATTTAATCATTTGAAATTAGAATGAAATGATCACAATTTTGCAAGTGCAAGATAAAATTTAGTGTTCCAAATGTTCTCTGGCAGAACTAGTGTTGTATTGAAAATGTATCCCAGAAGAATTTCAAGCAATCTCATTCCATCTGACAGAAAAGAAACGTCCTTTGAGATGAACGTCCAGAGAGGAAAACATTCAGAAAAATCCTCATGGATGAATTTCAGGATTCTTGAGCTTACATTGTTCAAGAGGTGGGCATGGGTGTGATACGTCCAGTCTTTCACTCAACAGTTATCTCTGTGATAGACTTCCCCACACTCTACTAAAGCCCAAGAGAAGACATAAGGTTACTCCTTGTGTACAGCTTTTTCATATCAAGAAGACTCAGCAGTGAACAAAGCTACAGAGTGATGTTGAGATGTAAAAAAAAAAGAGAGAGAAAAGTTCCTTTGGTCAACTTGCACTGTTATGATAAGCTCAAAAATAGACCAAACCAAATTCTCAACATTCCTGTGAATAAGAAACAAAAAATAAGCCTCCTTCATAGAAAAAGAATTGGGAGGGAGGAATGGGGGCAACAAATTCTGGCACGGGTCCGGTTTCACCTTTTTGCTAGAGCTGGACACAACACTGCTCTCTTTGATACTCACACCAGGGCACACAGCCAATAAACTGAATTATTAGGATCTATAGCACAGACAAAATAAATCTACAATGTGACACTTTAGAGGCCCTGTGGAAAGTGCTGAACTCTGAAGACTGGCAATGGACCCAATTCAACATTTTTCATAAGGAACATTTTCCTGAAACATTTCAGTACATTTTCCTTGTTTCCCAAGGAACAGAAGGTACTTTGCAAAATTTTCTTCAAAATTCCTCCAGCATTACTAATTGGTTGCCTCCCCACCACTATCCTCACTATGGTCTACAGTGACACCTGAAATAAGTCATTGTAGAGAAAGCAAAACAGTTGCTCTTGTTCCCACTTGCTGTGGCAGGTCAAAAAGCAAAAATCCTTTAAAAGAACAGAACTGTACTTGACCAATAACAACAGTGCACACCACTTCTGAGAACTCGTTGGAGAATCTCCTCTTGGAAAACTCTGACAAACGTTCCCAACACATTGAAGCTTAAACCAGACAAGCCAGAGGTGCTCCTGGATAATCAAAAGGCAGACTGGGCAGACACAATCTCTGCTGATCCTGACCCTGAAGACTCAGGTTCATAGCTTAAGTGTATTTCTGGATGCCCCTCTCAGCCTAGGTGCCGTTCTCAGCAGTTGCCAGAAGTGTGTTTGCACAATTAAATCTTATATGCCAATGGCACTTATTTCTAGAGAAGTCTGATTTGGCTATGGTTACGCATACCTTGATTACCTCCCATTTGGGCTCATGTGGAGTTGTCTCTGAAGATGGTTTGGGAACGTCAAGCAGTGCAAAATGCTACAGCCAAACTGCTGACAGGGGCTGGCTACTAGGATCATGCGAACCTCTTCCCTCGTCACAACAGCTTCATTGGCTGCTGGTTTGTTTCTGGGTCCTAGTCAAAGTGCTGCTCATGATCTTTAAAGCCCTTTGCTGCTCAGGTACAGGATATCTGAGAAACCATATCACCTTGTATGATTCCCTCCCCCAATGTATTAAGATCTTCACGGGAGTTCCCTCTCTTGATACCACTAGTTTTGGAAGCATGTCCGGTGAGGACTCAAAAGAACATTATTCTGTGGCTGCTTCTAGACTACAGAATTCATTTTCTTGGGAGATGTGGCTGGCCCCTTTCCTCCTTTCCCTCCAGTGGCAGCTGAAAACTTATCTCTGTACAGAAGTTTTTAGGGAAGTGTATTAAAATCTGCTGGGCCATAAAGAGGGCTGACCACCAAAGAATTGATGCTTTTGAATTGTGGTGCTGGAGGAGACTCTTGAGAGTCCCCTGGACTGCAAAGAGAACAAACCTATCCATTCTGAAGGAAATCAACCCTGAGTGCTCACTGGAAGGACAGATCCTGAAGCTGAAG